AATGCCCATAAAATCCCCTGTTGTTACAACACTTACTCAACTCTCTGACTTCCATTACGTTATAGTAAAGATAATCAAATGTGCATTCACATTATTGCAGAAATAATTTGGCACAAAACATGAAATTTACACAATTTTCTCCTTACGCTAAAGACAAGGTGTAACAAGTATGTTACATAGCTTAAAAAGCTGTAGTGACCATTGTGAGGCCTGAATTTTATCTGCACTTTTGTGTGTTTTTGTAAAGAACAAAACATCATACCACAAACCACATAAACAAGGATTTTTGAGATCGACGTTGTGATGCAGTCTGCACAATACTAATTGGTGGGGGATATTTTGCCATTACTCATTAGCTACACTAGTCTTGTAGCTCCTCTGCAAAACTAAAGATGCAAATTTCAGACAGACAACATTTCTTGGATGATTGAGTATGTTTGGGTTAACAGGAAGATAAATGTGTAAATGTTTGTGTATAATTGATTTATCACGAAACTATTCCTCTTTCAGTTATTGTGCTTTTAAACTATTGAACTCAATTCCACTTTTTATTAGACAGTTGAGCTCAGTGCACACTTTTAAGAAACATTTAAAAACATCTCTTTAACTTAGCATTCATTAAAATTCTACGTCTCTTGGTACTTATCTTTATATTTGTGTCTCTATATCTGTGTCATTGTAATATATGATTTTAAATTAATATTTTTAACAACTTCTGTTACTGTTAAGCATTACAACCAGTCTGTAAAGCACTTTGAGCTGCCACCGGCATGGAAAGTGCTACATAGATTATTATTATTATTATTAATACTATTATTATTATCATAAAGACATTAACCTCTAGCTCAGGGTTTCCTTAAAGTGTGGCACCAAGGCCAAAGCTGACCCACGAGGATGTTTGGTTTGGCCCACCAGAAAGTTACCGTAACTTCACTTCCTTATGTAATGAAAGAACATATTTTATACTACATGTATTCTATTACATTTTTATTTTCCTTTTTAGTAGTTTTAGTACGAGCATTTTAATAACAAAATATAGTATAATGTTATAAAAGACATTTCTAAAAACTCTACACTGTAATTTTTGTATTTTGCCTTTTTGCCCCTTGTTCCACCATAAACGTTAAACTTTTTTTTACTAAAAGTTTGAGCGCCCCTGTTCTAATTTTTATGTCTTACTTTGGGGTTAATCTGCTGAATCAGATGAAGGATGCTTTCAAACTGCCCCTCTGAGAGCCAGATCGCCCACTGAATCAGCAGCAGCTTGTGGATGCAGGGCTGATACACTGTACCACCAAAAGTCTTCAGCACTGCTTGCAATAATGTATCCAGATCAGTTTTGGACACCTGAGCACCAACAGCTTCTAATGCTAAAAAAAACACAAAAGAAAGAAATGCATCACGCAAGCATCACATACACCTGCACTTTTATTGCTCTTCTAGATGAAATTGGACATTTACCTCTTACTAGGCTGTTGGTGAGGTGATGCTGTGTCTCTTTTGGTTTGGAGTAACTCAGTGATAATATCAAGGTGTTGTATGAAGTGGTGATTTCAAGTTTAAGTTGTTCTGTAGTGGCTGGCAGACCTGTGTGGGTTGGAAAGTGAAGAGAAAGACGACATACGTCTGGAATTAACGACCATTTACGTTTACATTTAGCATTGAGGTCAGCTTCTTGTTTGAATTTTCCGTTCCACCTTAAATAGTGCAGCCGTTACATTCTTGCGCCTCTCAGAGTGTAACTGCTGCACCATTTAAGGTGGAACGGGAAAGGTCAAACAATTAGCTCGCGAATAGGAAGCCAACTTCAGCCTCGCCTGTTGTTGACCTGACAACAAAAGAACTAAATAAAAAATCTCGCACCTTGAATTTTTTGCTGCAGTTTGAGACACTCCGCATAACAATGCTTTCGTACGTCTTGAAGTGGCTGGCGACGGTTCTCATATTCCTAAAATCAAAGATAAATGCGCTGAGTAAGATTATGTGTGCAGATAGCGGGTGAATGAGTTTGTATACGTTAGCTGAAGCTAACGCTACCTTCCACTTTCTGACGATGTTGTTATTCTCCTCAGCCCATCTGTCCACCAAACACGGAGTAACAGACATGTTGAGAATTCGGATAACAGGCGCAAATAGACCTACATCAAACTATAAACCACAAAGACAAGACATAAAATAATAAAAATGCGACAATGACATACAGATCCAGCCCAGGGAAAACATTTTAGCTCGTGATTTGAACTTTCCCTCCATCTCTTGTAAACACTGCTATTTAGCGCCCTCTGCTGTTTTGGATGCGCGGAATAAAAACTCTCATAAAAGTCCTCAAGTCGTCGCTGTGTACCCAGACTCATTTATTTGGTCATTGAAATGACTACGAAACTTTCCATATATTTTTATTTTGTCAAAAAGTTTACGTATGCTAACTAAGTAGCTTCTTGAAGCTAGTCGAGCCGAGGGCAAGAGCATTCCTATCAAACAGTTTGCTCCTCGTTGACCCTTGAATTGCCTTTGGTGACCCCAGGACCCTAACCATGACTTTGAAAGGGAGCTCCGCCAATGTTTCAAAACTTCTACATTATTAAATGGTTAAGACGTAAACAAAGTCATTCAGAGTGGTTTGATGTGAAATGCTTCCAACCAACCAGACCAGACGTCTAAGGAGTTTGACGCCTCTAAAAGCTCCTTCACAAAAAATTACTACACAAATTGTTACGAATACACTGCCTGATGCATGAGTTTTGCGATCAGGTTTTGGCCTAAAACGTCTTGTTAATATATATTTTTTTATCTTTTCATAGAGAAGGGGTACATGCAGGGGGTTAAAAGGCAAAACAGTCCCACCAAAACCTTATTTTTTCAGATTTTATACACTTTTACCATCGTTCTTACATATTAAGTATTAATTATAAGTTAAGTATTACATATAAAAACTTAGAAGACACGTATAGGTTCACTGGAAACCTTTGGATAGTAAATAAAATGGCTATATTTGTGTTGTAGAATTCTCCTTTAAGAATCCTTTCATCTCTTAAGGTATCATTTTGAGTTAAGAGGCATTATATTAAGAGCTGATGGAATATATGGCCCTGAGAACTATAGGTAGGCACCCCTCTATTCTTATGTAAAAATTGACTAATTTATCATGTCTAATTTACCTTTTCACTGAGTTAAATTATGTGTTGAAAGAAAAAAAACAATAAATTGAGCAGTGCTTTCTATTTCAGAATGAGGGTCACAACCAAACTGTATGTCCTTTGCTATTTATAAAGTCCTGAGTTACCACACCTATTTCAGCTCACAAAACTGTGTAGGTCAGAGGGCCTCCAAGACCAAGCTTGTAAGCGTTTCTCAGCTATTACACAGATGAAACATTGGACAACTGCCTCTGACAAAATCCCACTCTAACTGACCTCTTTCCTTTATATTAGCCCTACCCCTGGATAGCTAATATACAGAGCTCGAGACCGTATATAAAAACCACAGCAGGTTAGTCTACAAATAAATACCATGTTACTTCTCCCTGAGGACGCACAACAAGACAAACAATAACCCACATTTAAACCTTGACAGAATATAAACACTTCAGTTTGATGTCATTGTTCTCTGAACTGTGTCAGGCTTTTTACACTGGTCTCTTGCACAGTGTGTATATGTAAATATGTGTAATTATGTGTGTTTATTATGTGTACATAACAGTGTCTAGTGTTCTTCTTTTACTGCACCACTGAAATTCCCTCCTTGGGATCATATGTGTGTGTCATGCTCAGAACAACAAAACCATTCTTATATTCCTCTATGTTTCCCACTATAAATAAATATACACATCAGCTTCAACTAATGCTGGAATAAATAAGAGTTTCTTGAAATCACTTCCATTACTTGACCTTTCTTGCTTCCCAGATGAGGAATCAGTGCTGTGTCAGCAAGGCAGAGAAGAAGGGCAAACATATCCTTTTTGATGCAGGATGACTCTACTTATACATACATGCATATATGCACATACACACACACACACACACACACACACACACACACACACACGTATATATATATACATATAAAACGGCAAAGAAAGGATTTCCAATGTTTTCACTGACCAACTACTTTATAAACAAATTTAGAATTTGATGTCTACAACACAATCAAAAGTTGGGACAGAAACATGTTCACCACTTTGTTACATCACCTTTCCTTTTAGTTACCCTTTTTAATCGTTTGGGAACTGAGGATACTAGTTTTGGAATTTTACCCATTCTTGTTTTTGTTACAGTACTTTTAAGACTGATACATTATATAACCAAAAGTATGTTCGTATCTGACCATCACACCTATATGAGCTTGCTGGGCAATGTAAATGATCTCTGTTCTGATGATCTACCTTGTTTTGTGCTCCTTTCAAAAAGCAGTCCGGGCTGAAACACTCTTTATAACCTCAGTGTGAATGGGCGGGGCTGTAGGCCGAATATACGTAAATATTTTGATTTTCGTGACCTCACAAAAACAATGAATTTAAAACTGTTCAGTTTTCAGTACATGGACTGTATGGACTGGAGAGTGAAAGGTGCGTTTTGAAACTCAACCAATGTTTACGTATCAAGTTCTTTTATTTCCAAAAAAAGTGAGTAAAATGTAGTTTTTCCGTGATCTTTGCCCTTTACAGTATTCTCTCTTATTTGAAAGACTACACATGTATGTATTCGCTGTAATTAGAATTTCTAACTGTGTTTATCAGAATTGTCATTAACACTATCAGAAGTAGATGAAGGCAGCGTTTCTGACTCTTGTCTGGTGCTTTTGCTCTCCTCTGTCTCGCTGATTTGGTGGCCATTTCTTATCTTATTATTGCAGTTCTCGTCTGATTTTTTCTTCTCTCAGCAAACCCCTATTTCTCCACAGCCTCAGGTAGCCTGTCCGGCTCGGTGGGACCCATATGACTCCTTCCACATGACTCCACAGTGCTGCCTGTCGCAGCATAAACTAAGACTCGACGTCACTCTCTCCCTCTTTCCCCCCAAAGTCCTCCAGCAGAGCGGAGCAGCAGCAGCAGAGGAGCCGCAGAGAGGCCGCGTCTCACAGCCGGAGAAAACTCGCCAACATGGTGAGACATTTCACTGCACGAACGAGCCACGACATGACGCCAACCACCCCCCCTAAAAACGACGGAATAATAATCTTAATAACACTGCTATGTGCTGTGTTTAGCGGCGCCGCGGACTGACAGGATTTACCGGCGTTATTTATTTTCTAGTTTGATTTTATGTCAGTGACGTAATGACAACCTGCTTGAGAGATTTGTCTCGTTTTCAACTTGAACCTGACATTTTGAGGAAGATGGGGTCTGCTTATTATTCGCCAGCTTCTTGTTCGAATGTTGCCGTTCCACCTTAAATGGTGCGGTGGTTAAATTCTGAGGAACCAGACTGTAACTGCTGCACCATTTAAGGTGGAACGGCAAAATTCGAATAAGAAACTGGCCATATAGGCAGAGAACTTGAGCCTGATATTTTGCCGAGTGCCGCAGCACTGAGGACTGTGACGCACAGATATTAAGAGATGTGTCTCTGCCGTGTTTTCAGGCTAATAAAGGCTAATAACCGTGTCTGTCGAATGGGTAACACATTTAGCTTCATCATGACTGAGCTGTGGTAACGCAGAGAGACCTGCGTTCGGGCGAAAGCTGAACGCTTCCTTTAAGTACAAGTGCTGCGTTATTTTCGGGAGACACAGAAATTGGAATAACGCCCCCCCCTCCCCTCCCCAGCTCCTCCGTTATAAATAGCACCGTGATCACGCCCACCGTGTTCATTAAACTTTCATGGCCTTAGATTGAGCAAGAGGAGCTTATTGTTGAGTAGTTTGATGTGTGCTAGTGGTAAAATAAGTCTTCTTACATGTGTTTGTGTTTCTGCAAGGGGGCAAAACTGTTCATCACCTCATATCGCCCCCCACCAAGTCTGTTGGCACAGCCTCTGTGTGCATGGCCGAGCTAGATACGGCGCTGTTTTTTCCCACCTGTATTCCGACTAACCCCGCCTCCTTGGACGAGATTGGCTGGCTAGGAACTAGCTTTGCGCAAGGATTGGTTAGAGGCTGGAGCTTAAACGGCCTCGTGCGCGATGCTAGTAGTTTGTTTCCACACAGTCCATCTGTCACGGGCCAATCATAGCGCAGAAGGCGAGGCATGTCGCAATACAGGTGGGGAACAAATAACGCAGAAATTCTGCGGCTACACTGTGCAGTCGTGGGATATGATATAATAATGTGACAAAAATGGGAGCTATTAAAAAGCTGACTGAAGCAAATAGCATATAGCGGCATGTAGCAGGATAAATACTGCTGGTTCATCATTCAGGACTGCAGGATCTAATGAAGCCATTTTTAGAAGCAAAGCAACTCATGAACTTGAAACTCACCCACTCACGTTTTCCTGGCTCATGTGCGTTGATTTAAGGGGAGGGGGTGGGGGTGAGGGTACCAACCCTCCTAAAAAAACAATAGTCAAATCAGAACTGGCTAATAGTGGCCTCCTCCTAAGTATGTTTGCTTGAAAAATACAGTACTGTGCAAAAATCTGAGAGTGCACTTACATTATTTAATTTTCCAATAGGTACAAGTTATAATACACTTGCATAAGGAAAGGCAAAGTCAATGGAAAATAACTATTTTTTCTTAATTATTTCTTCAGCATTCATTCACAGAGTTTTTCTGCTAAGGACTCTTATTGTGAAGGGGTGAGGCTAGGTCCACCCAGGGGGATATGTGTGGGAGCGGAAAAAGCAAGAGAGTCAGACGTGAGCTGAGTAGTAAAGAGTGAACTCCACTTGTGTACAGCGTAGCTGTGGCCAACAACAGCTGGAGAATAAAGCACCATGACTTGTGTGAATGCTGTGTCTAATCGTGGGGAACGCTACAGTACTTTCATCTTTGAAAGAGAGCAGAAAATCAAGCTCCACTCTTGCTTAAGATCTGAAAAAATCCACGTGTTTCTGTCCATCCTTCTGATGTGAGAGAACAACTAAGCGCTGTGGGTCTGAAAGAATGTCCAGCTGTCAAGAAGCTGTTACTGAGAAAAGGAAATGGACAATGGATGTATGAGTCTTTTTGTAAGTTGTAGTTGTGATTATTTGGATCATGAGAATCAGAAAATGCAACCAATTTCTAAGACTGAACTTTGGAGGTGTGGAAAAACATCCCTGCAGATTTCTTTGAAAAACTGAAAGCGAGTCTCCCAAAAAATAGAAGCTGGGGGTGAACTCACTAAAACTGAAAAAATTGAAGTTATATTTAGTTGTAATATCTGTGTAATAATAAGGAAATAGATATAAATTTTTTTACCTCAACACAATTGTCTATTAGACGTTCCCACTTTTTATGGCTTATGGTTTTGCCCTCAAGGTCTGGCGCCGAGTCAGGGGGCGCTGTGAACTTATAAGCAAATGAATGTGGTTAGGTAATTCTACCTTTTGATTAAAGTTAGTTTTAAAGTGTTGCTGGTTTGTCACTTCTGAATTGCTTCTGGCTAACAATAACATGCTAGCTGACTAGCTGTTACGCTGTCCAACTGGTTCAAAAGCAAACTCAGCAATACAGCCAAATCAGATGTACAGTGTCAATGTTAAAAGTTAAATAAGGATATATAAAAATTATATAGTGTTTGCTAATTAATTGTGAAAGTGACTGTCACTGTCTAAGCTTTCTGGATCTGCTTTGTAAGAGTGGGCCTTCATTCATGATATTGCCTTGTATTCACTCTGTTTTCGCCCTTTAGCTACAGTTACAGATGCCTTTGGTAGTGTAGTGTTGTTGCCCCTTATATCCAGCTCTTAAGACTTATTTTATTTATATAGTACGTTTTCACACTGAAGTTTCTAATGGAAATTAAAATAATATAAATATATATTTTAAATTTGTACTCATGTTTGAACCATGTACCCAGTGTTTCCTCAGCCATACAACAGTGTTTTTATTGATTTGGAAATATAAGAAATATAATACCGTCTGAAATCTACATAGTACTTGATGTCATGATGAATTCCTTGAGTTTTGCCACTGTGAACCTAACAGAATCTAAATACAAGCTGCTCTCCTTTTCCCAGGTGAACTTTACAGTAGACCAGATCAGGGAGATCATGGACAAGAAGTCCAACATCAGGAACATGTCCGTGATCGCCCATGTGGACCACGGAAAATCGACTCTCACTGACTCCCTTGTGTGCAAGGCAGGTATCATTGCTTCTGCACGAGCTGGTGAGACCAGGTTCACCGACACAAGAAAAGATGAACAGGAAAGGTGCATCACCATCAAGTCAACGTAAGTATTCATACTGGTTTTAAAGTCAACACTGTTCATTCAGTTTTACAATATCTGCTTTCTTTGGGGCAGATTTACTAAAATAGGGACTAATTGCAGACAGTCTGCCAGCACTTTGTGCTGATGGCGGTGGTCAGTTTAGCAGGTTTTCTATGAAGAGTGTCAATGCAAATGAACACAGGCCCACTATATACTTAACATATGACCAGCGGAATATAAGAAAATAAGAGAAAATAAAAGGAAATAGGAGAAAATAAGCAATTATGTGGACTTTCTGTTTCTGTGTCTGGAACTTGAATGCCTTTGGAAACTGTTTGATATTGTAAAATCCATGTTTAATTTCACAGCGTGCATCCTGGTTGTTTGGGAACGTCTTAGCTATGTGTAGCGCATCAAAGGCTGTTACATCTCTGCTACAGCATGCAGAGCAAATTACAGAGCCAAGACAAGAAGACTGACAAATCATTATTTAGGCAAAACCTGCTTTCAAGGCACTTTGATATTGTTGTAAAACATATCAGAAGTATAAGGAAATAGCAGTTTAAAACATGGTTTTACTAAAATTATTTCATTAAGAATAATATGACATGATAGGCATTCTCGATTCTCTTTTCTCTGACCAGAAACAATGGCAGCCATGTAAGTGCCAGAAATAAGACACACTTTCAACAGGCGTTAAACAATGCATTAATTGGAGCTGGTGATTCATTATAATAATCTCCTCCCAGTATTTTGCACTTTCAGAGGGAAATTCCTATAAATGCATATGCAGTGAGACAAAAGCACAAGAGAGCAGCAACTATCCTTCTTATTATGGGTGCTAAAATGTTGATGTGCCTATTTAGTAAATCATGACAGTCACTTTTTAATGCCAAAATGGAATTTGCGACAGCACAGAACTTTAGTAAATCTGCCCCTTATCTATTTAATGATGTCATGAAAAATAGTCTCACATTGTATTTTAGTCTTAGTGAAGTTCCCAGGAGGATTCCTAATAGCATTTCCCCTCAAATGTCAGCAAAAATAACCTACTTTTTAAAAACAGTCATCTCATGTTTTTTGGCTGGTAGCTTGGTGGTGCTTCCAGTGTCTCCACGACATATTTGAATGTCCAAGTCATTAAAAAAAAAGGTAGAATCCATATATTTTAAAAGCCGTTATGTATTATCTTCAATGCAGAGCTATCTCTCTGTACTACGAGCTCAGCGAGAATGACTTGGCCTTCATCAAGCAATGCAAGGATGGGTGTGGTTTTCTCATAAACCTGATCGACTCTCCTGGTCACGTGGACTTCTCGTCCGAGGTGACGGCAGCTCTGAGAGTTACAGATGGGGCTCTCGTAGTAGTAGACTGTGTTTCAGGTATGACAGTGCATGCCTTCAGCAGGTTGAAGTTAAAAGGGTCACCCAAAGTCACACAGGAATGTATCTTAAAGGGCCCATATCATGGAAAAAAATTATCCTTGCTTTTTTTTTTGAAATAGGATTTGTATGCATATGCATTTTTTCAAGCTTCAACTTCAACAGTTTATGTAGATAGGTCCTGAGAGTTAATTCTTTCCACAGTCAAGTGGTTGATATGACATGGAAGGCATAAATGTATAATACATTTTCAGAACACAACCATACAACATGCAGAGTGAACTGTAACATGAACAAGATAATTAACAAGATAACACGATTATTTCCACAACCTTACACTCTAAAGACAGCAAGAACAGGAAATCATAGCATGTTTTTCTTCCATACCATGATGTATTTCTTAGTCAAATAGTTTAAACTCATCATTGGTTGCAATGTCACAACCACAAATCAGCAGTTCACTCTGCCCATTTACACTGCAGTAATAAGGAATGTTGTTACTGCAACGCTCAAGTGCTGAGTAGACATTTTATAGAACTGGCTCTTGCAAGAACTACAACTCATGTTACATCCAGGGGTCAGGAAACACCTCAGCAGAGTTGACATACCCAGAAAATACAGAAAATCAGGGCCCAAACACAGGCTATGACAGCAAGGACAGAACCAAGAGCAAGACCAGGGCATGACAAAAAGCCAGAAAATACCACAAACTAGATCATGGAAATACAGTATAAGGAATGGGAAGACCTTGCAAACAACTAGACACAAATAGAGGAGAACAAATACACAGACAAATGAGACTACCAATTACAAACAGGTTTACATAGTTAGTGAAATGAGGCTCTAGATCAAAGCTGGAAGTAGAGAGGAACAATCCCTTCAGTGTTGCCCAGTAGTTATGATTGCCAAAGTGAGAGGGTTATTGGCAAGGTCGGCCAGAGGAGCAAGTGGAGGAGCAAGTGAATCTTCTAGAACAGGGACCATGAAATGGGACATCCACAGACGGTTCTAACAGTAAGAACTTGAGGCTTGACAGGGACACAGTAAAGACAGAAGTGATGGAGGAGAGGTGCTGGGAGTCTCTGGACAACTGAGTCAAAGCTGGGGCTGGAAAACTGTTTGAAGATGAGTCTGAGATCAGTGCTGCAACAGAATCAGAGGAACCATCTGAGGCCAGCAACAATGTGGAATTGTTCTCTAAAGTGCTGTAGCTGGGCCAGGACTCAACACAGACATAGTATCAGGGATAACAGTAGGGAAGACAACAGAAACAGTAGCTTGCAACTTGATGGGGTAGTGAGGGCTGGAGACTGGATAGGAGCAATCCAAGGCAAAGAACAAGAGTGCTGGGTTGGCTTGAGGTCTGGAATAGGGTCGTGAGACAAAACTAAGATGCTTGCACTGGACAGTTTCAGATACCTTGACTTACTTGCCATTAGGTCAGGAAACTGGCCTTAGGCCTTGACTAAATTTTGTAGGACCCGACCAGGACGACCATCTCAGAAGGTCAGATATTTCATTAAGACTGTAGGGGACAGAGGTCACGATCACCAGATTGTGAGACTTGGGGGGCATACCAGAGGCTTATGATTCGGGGAGCCTGGCGTTGACCTCAGTCTACAGAACAAGCTAGACGAGCCACAGTAAAGAAAAATCAAAAATAGATTTCCTTAATATCTTTTGCTGCTCAGATATTACCCTGAGCAAAACACCCCAGTAATATCACCTGTGTAGTTGGGTTTTAGTAGAGATCTCAGCAAAGCCTGTGCTCAGATTGTCTGTAGGATAGACAGCAGGACCTCACAAATGCTAGACACAAACAAATGGGTTATAAACACACAAACAACTGAGACTACTAACAACAGGTGTATATAGGAAGTACAATGAGACTCCATGAGACGTGGAACCAAACTAGACCAATCCATTTCTCTTAGAAGGGAGGACATTGTGACAAACAATTTGATCTGTACATTTGAGCCTGGACTTCTTTCTTAGCGAGGTACAACACAGTGCAACCAATCAAAACTGAGATAATTTACATACAGTACCCTGCAAAAGTATTCAACTCCCTTACAAGTTATCAGATCGGTTTGGATTACAAATGATTGATATTTTGTGCTGTCATATTTTATTTTAAATTATTGACCCTCAAAATGAATGAATTTAAAGTGATATTGGTTTTATGTAAGGAAATATTCTGGGACAGAATTACTAACTGAAAAAAAGGCACTGCCCGGATGAGGCCGTCCTTCAAAACTCAAGAAGGAGACATTAGGGAAGCCACAGAGAGGCCAACAATCACTTTGAAGGAGCTACAGAGTTCAGTGGCTGAGACTGGAGTGAAGGTGCACCAGTCAACAATATTAAGAGCTCTGCTAAAACTGGCCTGTATGGCAGGGTGGCTAGAAAGCCACCATTACTGTAGAAAAAAAACACATCAAAGTGTTTGAAAATCAAAAAGGTGAATGTTCTGTTATGGCCAAGCTACAGCCCAGATCTCAGGTTAATTAAGAACCTGTTGCCTGTCCACAAGCATCATCCAGCAAACCTGAACTTGAATTTGTGGGGTTAAAGTTCACCTTGATGAACTTGGTGCAAAGCAAAATTTAATGCCATTGGAAATTGCAAATTGATTTTTTGAGCTTTCACGTTCTTTCCCATTCAAGTGAACTGGCCTTTTTTCGCCAGTCAGATTGTACTTGCATTCGTTGTGAGCATGGCTTAGTTTTCAGTTGTAATCCAGATGATTCTGATTATTTTTAAGAGAATTGAATACTTTTGCAAGGCAGTGTACGTCAGCCTTAAAAGCACAGTGACAAAAACAGCCTGTTTTATTGTAAGTGATAAAGAGAGATTGGAAATTGGTCATGTATAAATGAATTCCTAGTTTTGGTTTGTAGTACATAAAGCAACATATATGTAAGATGTGGAATACCAGAAAAAAGTTCAATATGGGCCCTTTAATACAATGTCTATTGCCTTGACTGTTTCATAATCACAACATAACTTTCTGACAAATCTTTTGTCCTATTACTTCCACTAAAATATTCTTTCAGAACTATATGTTAAACTTATTTATTGGTTTATTTATGTTACGTAAGTTGCGTGTTTAAATGTGTTCTACAGGTGTGTGTGTGCAGACTGAAACCGTTTTGAGGCAGGCCATTGCAGAACGCATCAAACCCGTCTTAATGATGAACAAGATGGATCGTGCCTTGCTTGAGTTGCAGCTGGAACCAGATGAGCTGTTCCAGACCTTCCAGCGCATCGTGGAGAATGTCAACGTCATCATTTCAACCTATGGAGAAGGAGAGCATGGACCAATGGGCAATATTATGGTAAAAATCAACTTGATCTGAAGCCTGGGTTTAAACTACTTGCAGCAGAGCTGCCCGCAAATAAGATGCTATCAGTCCAATAATTGTATTGGTTCTTTCATGTGATTCATTTATGTAAAACTGTCACTCTGAAATTTGTAAAGATGATTCCAATATAGTGGAAAGTAAACTCAATAATGTACTACTTAAATAATTTACTAAATTTAAAGGTAAAAACAGATCTTAGAACATAATATAAGCAAGCTTTATACTGTATTATATTTCCAGGTGGATCCTGTTGTTGGTACAGTAGGATTTGGTTCAGGCCTCCATGGCTGGGCTTTCACCTGAAGCAGTTCGCTGAGATGTATGTGGCCAAGTTTGCTGCCAAAGGTGAAAAGAAAAAAGCAGAAACCAGCCCTGCAGAGCGTTCTAAGAAGGTGGAGGAGATGATGAAGAAGCTTTGGGGAGACAAGTAAGTGCAGCAGAGGGATTCCACTGAACATATGAAATCAAATTATTAAAGTTTAATATTTGGTGCACTAGCTTTTAAAAAATACATTAAGGCTTTTTTCTGTGTAATCCAATTTTTTGTCTTCAACTTCTCAGGTATTTTGACCCTTCCAATGGAAAATTTAGTAAAACAGCAACTAATGCAGAGGGCAAAAAGCTCCCTCGCACTTTCTGCCAACTTGTCCTGGATCCAATTTTCAAGGTGTGCATTACAGCAGCTGTGCCAACCTTATATCCCACAATTGCAGTCACTTCAAAATAAAAAGTCATTTGTACAGTAATTTCATTAAAAAACTTGATTGACAGGTGACTAGGCTGTGCTTCAAGTACTGTAAACATGTATCTACCCCCATTTGTTGCATATTCATTCCATGTATATAACCCTGAAACTACATGGAATACCAGCACATAACACATTTATAACACTTATTTAATGTATAGAGCCATCCACAAATATTGGCACTCTTGGTAAACATGAGCAAAACAGGCTGTAAAAAACATTCTTTATTGCTTATCGATTTGATCTTTCAATCAAAATATTAACAAAACAAACAGTTTTTGAAGTACAATGATTGAAAACAAAAAACTAAATTGTACCAGAAAACAAATATTTTTCTCAAATCAATGTGTGCCACAGTTATTAGCACCCCTTCATTTAATACTATGTGCAGCCTCCCTTTGCACCAGCTCTGAGTCATCTCATACACTGCTTAATGAGACTGGAGAACACATGGAAAAGGATCTGAGACTATTCCTCCATACACTCTCCTCTTCAGCTCAGCCCACAGGTTTTCTATGGGGTTTAGGTCAGCGGACTGGGGTGGTCATGGCAAAACCTTAATTTTGTGGTCAGTGAACGGTGTTGATTTTAAGATTTTAGATCATTGTCCTGCTGGAAGATCCAAACTCTAGCCCAGTTTAGTTTTTGATTTTATCTCTGCTGGTACTTAATGGAGTCTGTGATATCATGTATCTGAATAAATTGTCCAGAGCCTTTGGAAGAAAAACAGCCCCACACTATCACAGATCAATCACCATACTTCACAGTGGAGATGAGGGACTTTTCTGCATGGCTATCTTTGTGTTTGTTGTGTTTGTTGCCAAAAACCTCTATTTTGGTATCATCTGACCAAAGAACACGGTCTCACTGAAAGCTCCACTGTCCAACTGTAGGAGCTTGAGTTTGTAGGGCCCTGACAGCAGAGACCTTCTTCTGGCGTAATAATGCTAATCCCTGTCCATCAAAAGCACCTACAATGTGCATTTGAGTGTCGGAACTGTACCTTGGAACAATGGAGAAGGTCGCCTGGTCCAATGAGGCCCTTTTTCTTTTGTGTCACATGGATGAACGGTCTGTTAGTGCTGTTTACCTGGGCCAGTGATGGCACCAGGATGCACTGTGAGAAGAAGACAAGCCAGTGGAGGAATGTGATGCTTTAGACAATGTTATGCTGGGTCTGGACATTCATGTGAATGTCAATTTTACAAGTGCCACTTACCCAAACATTGCTGTGGACCAGGTACACCATCAGGGAACAGAACTACCTTTATGGCAATGGTATTTTCCAATGGCAGTGGCCTCTTTCAGGAAAATGCACCCTGCCATGCTCCACACATTGTTTAGGAATGGTTTGAGGAACCTGACAAAGAGTTGAAGGTTCTTCCTTGGCCTACAAATTCTCCAGACCTCTATCTGATTGATCTGTGGGATGTGTTGGAACAACAAATCCAATCCATGGCAGCTCCTCCTAGCATCTTACAGGACTTAAATGATCTGCACCTAACGTCTTTGTGCCAGATACCACAGGAGACCTTCAGAGGTCTTGTAGAGTCCATGCCTCAGTGGTTAGAGCTTTTGTGGTGGCCCGTGGAGAACCAACAGCTCATTAGACAGTTGGTCCTAATGTTCATCAGTGTAATTACATACTACACAGATTCATTTGGCTTAGATAAATAAAAGCTGTCAAGTAGAGCTTTTTCAATGCCTGCTGGTAAGCTCCAAAACAGCCACTAAGACTCATAAGAGACTTTAGGAAAATACAGTAATTTGAGCATGAATGTGTGCATAGCTTAAGCCTTGCCCCCTCTCCACCCACTTTACTCTGACTAGATGCACCCAGATGACTAATTTTGATTGCTGACAACGATTTCCGTCAAGGATGGCAAATAGAGCCCCTCAGAAGAGAGCGAGGGTGTACACTGTTCGATCTGGGCTTTGTCTAGACCAGTCATACGATCATTGTCTTACTATTCCACTAAAACAAATAGGTCTTTACAATACTCATAACGCTTACTGTAACAATGCTTACATCACAGTACTTGCACAGAAAAACAGCAGAAACAGAGGTAGAACAACTAGAAAGTTGAAAATTTATTTAGACATAAATCGTGGAGGAACTGTCTTGAAAATTGAATATTACATTAATGACCTCAGATGAAAAACAAATCTTCATTAAGACACATTACAAGCATTTACTCCTGCAAAATCAACATTATTAATATTTTTGAAAAGGTTTTCGATGCCATCATGAACTTCAAGAAAGAGGAGACCCAGAAACTGATTGACAAACTGAACGTAAAGCTTGATGCTGAGGACAAGGAGAAGGAAGGGAAACCATTGCTTAAGGTGAACTGACTTAATCCTTTTAGTCCTCCATTACTTATGATAAGCAATAGCACATGGAGGCTTTTGAATAATTTGCACCTGTACAGTTATAATTATATGTGTTGCTTTTTTATGTGTCCAGGCTGTGATGCGCCGCTGGTTGCCTGCAGGTGATGCTTTGCTTCAGATGATTACCATCCATCTACCTTCACCTGTAACAGCCCAGAGGTACCGCTGTGAGCTGCTGTATGAAGGCCCAGGAGATGACGAGTCAGCCATGGGTTAGTTACAATATTATGAGAATTAAAACCACTATACAACCCTAAAACTGAATGGTGTACATGTTATTTCACTAATAATTAATTATATTTAGCCCCTTAAAATTCCAGGCTCAGCAAATCCTGAGGCTCAGTAATTTTGGGGGCTACAGTGCAGAAAGTACTAGTTTCAATGATCAATGAGTGAGATGGGGCGCTCTGGCCAAAATGAAAAATGTAACCATTGCCCCATCTGTTGTAAACATGCCTGCTCACTTCCTTAGCAGTGCTGCAGTATTATCTCGAGTGAGATTTTCTAGTTTAAAGATTTGGAAAACTTCCTTTTGATGACATATCTTAAAGCTGGTGGGAACCTTTCAAAAACTATTACTGCCTTAGGGTGGATTTTTGGGGGCCCAGTTGTTTGGAAATGTTGTTTTGTTTCTTTTCTTAGCAGGTAAATGCGGAAGGAAGGTAGATATTTAAAGTTACTGCTAGGAAGCTGAACAGCTTATTGCAACTGTATAACTGTAGTAACTGTCACTATGTTGGCAAGAATGCATTACTCCAACAATAGAAATGACCCACCAGATGAGGAGGCGAACAAGCTAAAAGCTTAAGTTAGCAAGGTAGCTGTCTATCTGGATACATTACCTCAGTCTGGCTTCTTTTCTCTGGCTGAAAGGGTAAAAAACTTGGCTCTGGCAGCCATTTTATATTGAATAAAGACACTATTGCAAGACACTTTTGCTAGTTTTAGGCCAGAATGCTTCTTTAATATAAATTTACTATAGGGTTTTGTTATCATTGTAGAAAACTGTGAATTCTAATAGTTAAATGGTGCAACATATTATTATGCATTTCATTTTAAAGGTGATATCAATTTAAGAATTTGTTGAAAACTCACTTCGCAACGTATCAGCTAAATCTGAAACAATGTGTAAACTTTCTCTGACATGTGACCTTCACAGGCATCAAGAACTGTGACCCTAAAGCTCCACTGATGATGTATGTCTCCAAAATGGTACCAACTAGTGACAAGGGTAGATTCTACGCCTTTGGTCGTGTTTTCTCTGGTGTTGTGGCCACTGGGCAGAAGGTGCGTATCATGGGCCCAAACTATACGCCAGGGAAGAAGGAGGACTTATACTTGAAGCCAATTCAAAGGTCTGTTACATTCCATTGCATATAGCACAGTATCTTGAAAATACAAAAAAAGATATATATTTTATATATTTTTTTTTATTACGTCTCTCCAGAACTATCCTTATGATGGGCCGCTATGTTGAACCCATTGAAGATGTGCCCTGTGGGAACATCGTTGGACTGGTTGGGGTTGATCAGTTTTTGGTGAAGACTGGTACCATCACCACCTATGAGCAAGCTCACAACATGCGAGTGATGAAGTTCAGTGTTAGCCCTGTAGTGAGAGTGGCTGTGGAGGCCAAAAACCCAGCTGATCTTCCAAAGCTGGTAGAAGGCCTTAAACGCTTGGCCAAGTCTGACCCCATGGTTCAGGTAAGCACTGACAGCTGTGATTGGATTGATAAATTGTGATTGACCTAAACTTACTTGTTTACTTGCAACTAAAACTAATATGGTTGTTTAGCCATTAATGTATGAGTTTCTTTATGTTTCGCCAGTGCATCATTGAAGAGTCAGGTGAGCACATTGTGGCTGGGGCAGGAGAGCTGCATCTGGAAATCTGCCTAAAAGATCTTGAAGAAGATCATGCTTGTATTCCCCTGAAGGTAAAGCTGATAAATTCAGTTTTATTATTATTAGGTCCCAAACAAATGAACATTTTGTCACTGATACCACTAATTTTAAGGAGCCACTGATATCATCCAGTATAATTTTATATTATGCAATAGTTTTAAATGATTGTGCTTTACTGACTGTCATATTTGATGGTTAGTTCTCAATTGTCAGATTCTATAAAGTCAAATAATTAAAAGCAGAAACTGTGTTAAAGTGTTAAATATAATTAAGTCAATGTTTTAAGTTAAACAAAACAATACATTGGTCAGCTTGTTTATTATACACATATAATCTTGAGAAAACATGCATCATAACTGTGTCCGCATGGCTAGTGCCTTGGTACCACTCTATTTTAACATAGCCAGTTATCCTTTTTGTTTATGCTTTGAAAAGCCAAGTCTGGTTAATTATCATCACTTGCACTTGTATTTATGTGTTGGCATCTAGGGTAGATTAGGTTTAGTTATTGCCTTAAAGCAGTGGTCACCAAACCTCTTCCTGAAGATCTACGTTCCTGTAGTTCCAACCTGCCCCTAACATGCTGTTCTCCCTCACTGAACACTAATGCATCTAATCCAGCCAAAGTAAATCAGTTAGAGCAGGTGTGGCACATTGTGTTTGGAACTACACTTTGCAGGGAGGTAGATCTCCAAGACCAGGGTTGGCGACCACTGCCCTAAAGGGACACTCTGGCCAAAACGAAAAATTTGATCATTGCTACATTCGTTGTAAACATGACTACTAGCCTCTTGTAGTGGTACCGTAATATTCTTTGGAGCAAATTTCCCAGCTTAAAGACAAAAAAAAATGCTTTCTGACAATGAATATTAAAGTGGAAGGAACTTCAGAAAAACTACAAGCTTTTTCGGGGTAATAATTGGGGGCTGTTTGAATATTTTTTCACGATAATTGTCCAATTCAGACGGAAACCAGATTGCTAATGGTAAAAAGTTCGTCAATGTCCAATGTGAATTGTTAAAAAAAATGATCTCTTGGTTAATAACCTACAGGGAATTCTGAATTATGCTTTGAGTCACAAAAGTTTCTGTTTTTTTTTATTATCTGTGTGGTAATACCCCATAGAATACAGATGGGGCAGATAAGCATTTGGTTGACAAATGCTAGAGTATTCTTTTAAGACCAAAAGGTTTTAAACATATTAAAAAACATTTAATAGTGGTTTAGGTGTCAACAGCTATAGCAATGACATACCCTATATGTCCAAAAGCTTTGTGGACACCCCTTCTTATTAGTGAATTCAGCTGCATTAAGGTGTGCTCACTGGAGCACAGGAGTGCAAATGCGCACACAGCTTGTATAGTCTTCATAGAAAAGCACTGACAATAGAACAGGACGCTCTGGAGCAGCAGCACAAGAGCCTAAGGTCATCATGTCCAATGCCAAGCATAGGCTAAAGGGGTATGAAGCCCCCCAGCACTAAACCGTAACTAATCATCCAACACCAATACCTGATCTCACTAGTGCTCCCACTGCTGAATGCAATCAAATCCTCACAGAAATGTTTCAACAATTAATGTAAATTCTTCCCCGAAGAGGAGAAGGGGACAAACTCCTTTTTAATACTCCTGACATTGGAAGAAACGTTGGATGAGCAGGTGTCCACAAACATTTGGCCACATAGTATATTTCCAAACAGTGAATAACTGTTCTTGACTGCTTAATAACTTTGTTCACAGAAATCAGATCCAGTGGTGTCATATCGTGAAACAGTGAGCGATGATTCGGATCAAGTCTGCTTGTCCAAGTCTCCCAACAAGCACAACCGTCTGTACATGAAGGCTCGGCCCCTCCCAGATGGCTTGGCCGAGGACGTTGATAAGGGTGATGTTACTGCTAGGCAGGAGCTTAAACAAAGAGCTCGCTACCTGGCTGAGAAGTATGAGTGGGAGGTTGCTGAGGCCCGTAAAATATGGTGCTTCGGACCAGATGGAACGGGACCCAACATCCTTGTGGATATCACAAAGGGAGTGCAGTATCTGAATGAGATCAAGGACAGTGTGGTAGCTGGTTTCCAGTGGGCAACCAAGGAGGTGAATAAAATACTTGAAAATGTTGGGGGAAAACCCTTAGACCTCACCATGTTACGTATAACATGATTTCAGTAATTCAGTATTGTGTGATACTTAAATTTCGACATACAATCAAAATTTCTATTTGTAAAAATTCTGAGATGAACTCATCTTAAAAAGATCATTAAGCATCTGTAATCTTTCAGCTTTGCCCACATAAATGTGGGAAAAGGGGATTTCTTTTCCCCAAACTGCTCTGAAAACAAAACAAAATTTATATTTCACAATATGCATCAATGCATGTGTGTTAGATAAATAGAATCACATCACAGCCTTTAGAATTGATGCATTTGATGAATTGATGGCCCAAATTGATGTGGTGATAGACTCATAGCAAAAATGTACAGATGTCTGAACTGCCCACACTTTACAAGCATCAGTGACGGGTGTGATTAGAGGTTGCAGATCTCGTGTGTATTGGACTGGATTATCAGAACTAAAATGGAGTAGTGTGCACTCAGCTTAAGGTAGACTAGGGTTTAGCATTGGTGTGCACAGTAGTTGGGTTAGTGCCTGCATACGCAACTGCACATAGTTTGCATTTTAGTGATTTCACAATTTGGATCATGTGCATCTCCTTGGAGCTTTTGCAAATATTACGAAACGTTTAGGTCATATCATAATGATTGAAATAACCAGAAAGACTTAAAACACAGTTCCGTTTACCTCTTTAGGGAGCACTTTGCGAGGAGAACATGAGGGCAGTGCGATTTGACATCCATGATGTCACCCTGCATGCTGATGCCATTCACAGAGGAGGCGGTCAGATCATTCCTACAGCCCGAAGGGTTCTGTACGCTTCTGTGCTGACCGCACAGCCCAGACTGATGGAACCCATTTACCTGGTGGAGATTCAAGTAAGTTTAGCATCCTCAGTGATTGACATGACTAAGTCTATGGTCAACTCTTTTGCTATAACAACACTAAGCTGCCCGTTTATTAGCTACATCTGCCTTGTAGCTACAGTTATTAAGACCATTTTATTACATACGCCGACAATACAGATGCACTTTTTAAGTACAATGACTGACTGTAGTCCATCCGTTGCTATTCTCAGCACAGCAATGATGCCAACACGTTAGTGGCATTGTGGCAATGGCCTACTGTGTTGGGCTGGCATTAGTGTACTAGTCCAGCAGTGTCACTGCTGTTTTGAGAACGGACCACCAGCCAGTCAGCACTGATCTTGTGGTCAGAGTCTGACCACTGATAACAGACAAGATGACTAACTATTGCACCTACAAGGTAAAACAACAAAGTATGTTTCTAATAAAGTAGCCAGTAAATGTACACAGTGTTTACACACCCCAGCAACGTAGCTATACCTGATACACTCATACCAACGACACACTAACATGCCTATAAAATGCTGGTGTCACTGCTGTGCTGAGAAGGTTCCCCACCCAAATAATATCTGGTCATTGGTGGTCCCATGGTTGTCCCTTTCCACTGATGTATGGGGTAGAGGATGGCTGACAAACTGTGTAGTAATAGATGGGGAACAGTGCACCTATAGGATAGGTGTTTCTGATAAAATGGCCAATGAGTGTAGGTCCAAGGTAGCTGTACCTAATAAACTTTCTACTCAAACTTGAATCTAAAACATTTCCTCACCTGTGTACGCCCTAGTGTCCAGAGCAGGTTGTGGGTGGTATCTATGGTGTCCTGAACAGGAAAAGAGGCCATGTCTTTGAGGAGTCTCAAGTGGCAGGGACGCCTATCTTTGTCGTGAAGGCATATCTCCCTGTAAATGAATCATTTGGTAAGTTCATCTTTTAAATAAAAATAAATTCATTATTAAAATGTACTGCAATTGCTAATGAACAGGGAAAACACTAAAATGTGCCATGTAGAGGTAATTCCAGACTAGCAGGGGGCATTCTTGAAGCAGCTATGTGGTGTAGCATTGGCAATTCCAGACTATGGTTAATACTTGACTCCTCTGTCCAGGTTTCACAGCTGACCTGAGGTCCAATACAGGTGGCCAGGCCTTTCCTCAGTGTGTGTTTGACCACTGGCAGATTCTGCCTGGAGACCCCTACGATGCCAACAGCAGGCCTGCCCAGGTCGTGGCCGAGACCCGTAAGCGTAAAGGCCTGAAGGAGGGAATCCCAGCTTTAGACAACTTCCTGGACAAATTATAATCTTCCTGGACTGCCAAAAGTACATTTAAGCAATCGGTAGCTCTTACACACTTGCAGTGTTATTTACCTACATTGTGATGGAAATGTATGTTTACATTAAAAATAAAGCCTGAGCTTGACTTGAGTTTTCCATTTTGCTCAATCTTCAAAGCAAATAAAAACTGAGCACCTTAAGTTATATGAAGTGTCCATGACTGAGGCTGAATTTTTACATTCGGTGTTTGTCATCTAGTAGCATTAGAAATGACTGGCTTTATAGCATGTAGTTTTTCAGATAAAGACATCATTTACTACTTTTTGCTTTTATGTGTTTGGATAGAATGCTTTGGATCTAAATTAAACATTGAAAGTATAATTAAAATTTTTAAATCGTTAAATAATATTGTTATAAATGGATGTGCACTCATCTGTTCCATAAACTGGGAGGCGTGCCACAAAGCAGGATTTCTTAATTTGCCAGACAACTTTAGCCCAAAGATGAGGACTGTGAAATAAGAATGCCCCTCAGCACTTTTCCCATTAGGACAGGCTTGACTTTGGGCTTAGGTTATCTGGCTAAACTGAGAAATCCTGCTTTGCGAAACACCCCCTGATCTTACGCACCATTTCAAAACAGCCATCTTTTTTGTCACGTTTACTACAAATATCATTTACTGTGGTCTGAAATTAAATAAGGAACAAAGATTAAAGATCACTTAAGTGATCAGAAGGGGAAAAAAATAACTTAAGTTATTCATTTGAGGGATTTGTGGCCTATGTTGAGCAGAAAAACACCATTCACATGCCACAGACATAATTAAACTACTGTATGGGTCAAATTCATTCTGTAAAATAGTTTTTCATAAAAATAAACTTCACCAGATCTACAGACTTTTGTTTGAAGGTACTACAATCTTTCCCAGTCTTTATTCTCAGAGCAAACTTATGGATGTTTGATTTTTTGCTAATGCTGAATTGGACCAAAGTTAAACTATATATACTGAATCACATGGAAAATATCCCCTGTTCCAAGTACATGGAGTATTTTTAACTCAACATATTTCAACACATCAAAACATCACCTTTAGCACCATTTCAGTAATCCATGACAGCAGTGGGCTTGTTGAGTTAAAGAGGTTATTTTGGTGAAGAAAACAAACAAACAAACAAAAAAGAAACCAACAACAAAAGGGTGCGAGTCTGTAAAGCTTTCCAAAGAAGAAAGCTTTTAGTTTGCAAATACATGTTAATCTTAGTTTATGGGGAAATTTTAAAATATTTAACAAAAATATAATGATACTTACTACAGTTGTGCTTATTTTACAGTTTATATGTTTTACAGTTCAGTGCGTCAGAGTGGGTTAAAAGTCGGCATTTATGCAAATATAGATGTTTGGTCTTAAGGCATGACAACTTGAGGCACAACATCCACAGCCCGATGAGAAGTTGAAAAATGTGCCAAATGCTGTGTATTTACGGCAATGAGGGCTCAACTGCAGGTTTTAGTGAGTGCAAACTAAGCAGAAAAAGGAGACAGAAACATCCCATTTTTAAAACACTGTTAAGACATGAGATGTGGTGGAAATGATATGGCCCTTTGTGGTCAACAGACTTCAAAGCCTAAGATTACTTAAAAGAAAAAATAATAATAATAATATAGAGTATTACTCACTGTTCTGAATGGGCGTGCTACCCACCAGTATGGCAGGACCACTAGTAATGTAGAGCATAGTGCTGCCACTTCTATTTAAGAACATCTAAACCGTCAAGCAGCCCTAAAGCAGACATCACTCTTGTACAACTTTTAAAGATTTTCTGAAAGTGCAGTGAAAACTATTAAAAGCTGATCGCTGTGAACATGTAGCAGTTCCACAGAACCCTGAAAAAGTGAACAGTGTGCTTCATTGCATCCTTGAAACCGTAGATATATCAGAACAAATGTAAGCTGTGAACATAAACGTTGTTATCCATTACTATCAGAGGTTAACGCATGTAGCCACTACTCAACATAATTATGGTATCATGAACATACAGAATTCAATAGGGCTTTCTGAAGCCAAAAGCTAGTTATGATATTACCGAGCTGGCTTCAAAAATCTGTATCTTTATTGAGAACCAGATGATTAGCCCCTGAGAACTGCTCTTTTAGCATTTTCCAACTTCTGCATTTGGGTCTGGTGTTTCAGTAAAACCAGCATCTGCAGCACCTTTGATATGCAAGAATGTCAGATTTCTGAAAGCTTTACAAAATAAGACGACAGAAATGGTATGAAAATTTCACAATATGCAAGACTAGACAAAGGTCCAAAGAGGCATTTTGTCATGAGAAATCAGCCACCTGAACAGCATTAAACTCCAAAATGCAGCCAACATCATAGCTTTAAATAGAGAAGTACACAATTTGCAGGATAGGATTTCAAATTTACAGATAATGAAATCTGACGCAAATCATTTTAAGGACAATCCTGATTTTTTCTTTTTAATTATAAACGTGATCTGGGGTCAGAGGTTTTGAGGTGAATATTCAAAAACACAGTTTAAATAGTAAAAAGAGGACAAAGTTCCCACATACAAATACAACGCAGGTCCACAAACAAGCTTGTTATTTAACAAAATTTTAGCTAATCACTTGACGGACCCTAAAAAAAAAGCACAACGTGCAAAATCATCATAAATGATAAAAAAAAAAACCCAAACAATAAAAAAAAAACAAATGGAAAAAAAACAAAAAAAACAAAACAAAACAAAACAAAAACAGAGCTGGCTTGCTGCAATCTGACATTCTTCTTTGCCGAAACCAGATTACAACCTATTTTTACCATCCTACGTAATGTGCAACAGAACACAAAGATCATTTTTATTGCTAAACACTAAATTAGGACCTTTGAGATGAAGTAAAATTGCACTGCAGAATTTGGTTAGTACTACAATAAAAACCGAGCTGCCCCAGAGTGCTTTCACTTCCTTTCCAACGGAACACAGCTCCCACTCCGTTTTCACATCATGCCACTGTGAACTCAACGCTCACCGGGAGCCCAGTGTTCCCAGTCCACACTTTTATTGACTGTTTTGCTTGTTCAGTCCATTCAATCAAAAAAGGCAATGGGTATGAGTCACTATTATAATGCTAAAAAGATAAAAACATCTTCAGCGGGACAGTGAGAGTGAGCACAAGTCAGGGCTAGGTTTCTCAAAACCATCAGGTGCTACCGACATCTACACGCAACGACAAACATGCCGTTTCCCCACTGTCGAGAGAACCTGTGTCCATTTCAGCTACCATAATCGTAAATATGATGTTTAACTGTAATTAAAGCATAATATCAGTTTTTGGAAATGTGGCCCATGGCAGTTTGCTTGGTGATTGTGTAGTGCTGGCCTGTGGAGACAGAAACCTTGATTCAGTCCAGAGAGATAATGTCTGACAGACTTGAGGATCCTCCGGTGATGACCCCCGTTTCGTGACTAGAGCTCCCTCCATGTGGGGCTGCTTCATATGGGACTGATGAAGACACAAGGCCAGCGCTAGTAGTAGCACTCTGGATACTGCTGGAGAGGCTGTCGAGGAACACAGGGCTCCGGTAATGCTGCTGGAAAACAGTAAACACATTGCTAAACTTTGGGGCAGTTTGCTCTACCTCAGTTCAACAAGCCTTTCTCTATTCTCATAACAGCTCTATTGTCCTCACAAGTGAACCGTAACACAATGAAGGACCCCTGTGTTCGTCCCTTGCTTCATCTGCCAGGCATTTTCAGAAGAGAGCTTTTATACATATGTATGTGTGTGTCTGAGTGCTGACAATGATCCGCCACCCAAATGATACCTGCTCTGTGGGGGATCCTGAACACTGAAGAACAGAGTAAAAGGGGGCTAACAAACTATGCAGGGAAACAGATGGACTACAGTCTGTAATTGTAGAACTAAAGTGCACCTATATAGTAAGTGGAGCTGATAAAATGGACAAAGTGTAGCTACAAAGTAGATGTACTTAATTAAGTGGCCAGTCAGTGTATATAGTGCAAATAACAAGTTCCCCACCGTGGCTTCTATACTGGCAATTTGCTTTTGCTTGGCATTAGTGGCTTTTTCTAGGACTCCACTACTGTTTAAAACTATTCTACAGTCACAATGAAAAGTGTGAACACCCTGCATCAAATTAGATGTTCTGTTGATTTTTGAAGCACAAGTAAGTTAACATCCTCTAACAGGAACAAACTTAAATATAGCATTTACTATACATTTTAGTGCACAATTTCTATTTATGCTCTAAGTTACATAATTGGAATAAAATAACACATTGGAATAAAATAAAACAATGTTCCATCACGTTTACACAGACCACGTTGTATTTTCCAATTAAAGAGCAGGAATGAGCACTCTGTAGAGGATGTGTTTTTTTTCTCAACACCATATGTAATTTGATCAGGGACGCCACACTTTTGAATACAAATGTAAATAACTATAGCCTATTCCAAAACCTTGTGGCTCAGAGTACATGAAATGTCCTGCCAACATTCAAAACAGCAAAGTTTCTGCAAATGTCAACATACATATATGGAACACATACCTGAGGGTCTGCTTGAAGTAATGAAAATAAATCAAGACCTGTATGAAAAAAAATACAGTCAGTGAGATCACTGCAAATTACTCATTAGGACCATATGGACAATTAGCTAATAGATCACAGAAACAGTGGCATACTTTGCATATCGGTGGGAATAGTGGATAACGTCGAATGGTGGAATGGAACATAGTCCGCTATGGGGGACGTTAGATATGAGGCGTCCAGTGCCTGGACATTTGGCACCCGAACCGTTGATGGCTGATAGGTCAACACCCTGTAGGAAGACAAAAATTAGAGGTACCCTATTAAAAGAAGTTTTTCCTGACATGTCCAGGCAGGGACAGATATACATACACAGATGCTGCATTGTTTGTTTACAATCTGCGTGTCTTCCATGGAGTGGTCAATACGCATATATGGAAATACAAGTAGTTTTCATTTAATCGGCCATAATTTGCTTATTACTCAACTGATTTTGACCACATTTATTTTATAATCCTCAGAAATTTCTGCATGTTGATTATTTAAATTTGATTTACATGGGGCTATATTGGTAATGGCTATACGAGACCTGTCAAAATTTAAGTAAGGAAGTTGAAGATACATAAGAAGCATTAGAGTGAAATAATATTTGGATTTACATTTATCTGATGTTCACAGGCAGTGACGGGACCTCTTTTGAGCAGAGAGACAGCAGATCAAATGACAAACATGCTTATACACTAGATTTTAAAAATCTGAAACTAGATGTCATAAAAATTCACACTCAATGTAAATATGTCTATTCACAGTCTAATAAGAATCACAAAGTGCAAGTCAGATTTCATTTTACAATTTGCTTACACTTGTGTACATACAGAGTGCAAAAAATAAATTAAAAATAATACATACGTTGCTAGGTTGCACATCTTGCAAGGTGTCTGTGCTTCACCACATGGTTGAATCCATACATACATACATACATATATACAGCACAAACTTGAGTGTCGACATCTGCATTTTCTTTGTTATTTAATCCTATCCAACTTTCTGAGTGCAAAGTTCATGAAACATAATTTTGGACGGTACCTTTCTTAAAATGTCGCCCTGAAATTGTACTAAATGCAGTCCAGCAGCTGGGCTGACCACCACAAAGCAATGGTGCCATTGATGCACCTGGCTGAACCCAACATGGCATTTTTGTATGTACATCTATGTTCAAAGATCTCAGAAAGATGAAAGCTACCACTGACCCTTTGCTATGCATCTCCTCAGGTTTGGACAGATAGACACAGCGTTTTTTCAAAGGAGGGTCTGGCTCTGCTTCATCATCTGAAGAGCTTTCAAGCGTCAGGTCGATCACATCGGCCTTCTTTGTGCTGCTTGGGTTCTGTGTGAGGAACCACTGCACTCTGCCGGACAGGGGCAGCACCTGAAAGGTCAAGGAGAAAGATTAGTCTACAGGTCATACAGACCTAGCGTCATACTAAGGCTGTGTCTAAAAAAAAATATGTAAAAATGCTGTCTATTCTGAGGCAGGAAGGCACCCAGGCATGTCTGAGTTTAATGTTTATATAAAACGCTGCCTGCTAATGTTTCTCCATTTGGCAGTTTATAAAGTTAGTATGATGAGGGATTTAAAGAAAAAAAAAAAGGGAGAAGACACCAGCACTGACACAGTGGAGGAGAGAGACCAGTTTGTGTACATCTATGTTTAATGTTTGTTTTCTTTACTTCTTCTTTACTTAATTCCAAAAAAGTATTCAACTTGACTACTGAAAATTTTATTTACTGCAGGTGTGAAAAAGCCTGTTTTTCACAACTCGGCTTCACGTGGTTGTCTAATTGTACTAATCTTAGTTAAACAGCTCTGTTCTTTAAGTACTAGCCATACGTACAGCAGCTTTTACTATTTCTGATTTTTTCCTTATGTCCTACTGTAAGAGTCTGTCCGCTAATTTAGCTAATGTTCAAGGTAAGCTAATGCTAAGGTCGGCTAGCCAATAAACCCAGTGAAACACTGATACGTTTCTGAGCAATAGAGCTTCTTTAATTTTTCTGCATGGCTATTTTCGGTGTCTATGTCAAACCCACCTCTGGTGTATGTTGCCAAAAAGCTATATTTTAGTCTCATCTGGCCATAGAAAACAGTCCCACTGAAAGTTTCAGTAATGTCTGCCAAATTGCAGACACTTGGTTTGTTGGTTTGGACAGTCAAGACTTTCTTCAGGCAACCCTCCAAAGAGCCAGTGGTTATGTAGGTGCTGTCTAACTGTAGTTTGGGAGATGTTCTGACCCCAAAAACTAACTAATATCTGCAACTCACCAGCTGTGATCCTTGGAGATTCTTTGGCCACTCCTCTGTGCATGGGGTCAATACAGACATATGTCCTCTTCCCAGCAGGTTCTCAACATCTCTAATTGTTATAAAAACTTCTTAATTGTTGCCCTGATGGTGGAAATGGGAATTTTCAACTGTTTTGCTATTTTCTTGTATCCATTTCCTGACTTGTGCAGCTCAACAGCCTTTTGTTGCAAATCACTGCTGTATTCTCTGGACTTTCTCATAGTGCTGGATGACAGAATAAAACCTGTGTGTCACTTATAACACAGAGGAACAGGAAGTCATGGCTGAGCACATGTTCCTCATCGGCAAACTCCAAAATATAAAATAGGCGTGGGAATATACTATAGTTACGAGTTGACTCATGTGAATTTCTAGAGCTGCCAACAACTGTGGCACACATGGATTTAAGAAAAGCATATATTTTTTTGGTGCCAATATTTGTTTAGGGAACTGTAAGGATAGCTAACAAGTATACTTAAGGTTGATGTCAAATGTATGGTATATTTCCAGTTTTAGACAAACATGACCTGTGGAAGTTTCTTTTCTTTACACATGTACTGTGGTAAAAATGTGGTAAAAATAAGTTCCTAAAATGACTTACACTCAATTTTGGGTATACATGGAGATGATACTTTTAGCGCCTCCTTCTTTGGTCTCATTGGACACCATGTCCCGTCCTCTTGGAACTTGATTTCATCAACGTCCGTGCAGTCATTTAAAATTTCCATGAACAGCCTAACAAAGAAAGAGTGGAATTAATAAGTCGCACACTTCATATTTACAACCTGGTCCACCACAGCGAAGAAGTTCTCACCCATCTATGATCAGACTCTCGTATGTGGCTTTCTTGTCGCACACGGGGCAGATCCAGGTCGGCTTCTTCTCATTCATCTGCAGGTACAGAGCAGCATCGAAACACTGCAGATGAGAGCAGGTAACTGCCCGACAGGGAACCGTAAGACGCATCTTTCCAAGCTGAGTGGAACAAGAACAAATGATTGAAATTAGTAGTATTAATGAAATTCAGATTGAGCAGATGTATAACGCTGAGACAAATAACATGGAAGGTTCTCGGAACCTACTGGGCAAATTAGGGACACTCGTAAACTGGTTGTGGCTATTTCACTGTCAGGGTCAGCTGTGAGCTTTTCTTTTACTGAAAAACATGGTAGAGAAGAACGAAACTGAGAAGTCTTTTTAGATAATAATACATCTTACCCAAAATTAATTTACACATAAAAACTACCAAAGAAAATGAACTGTGCAAAACTGGTTACAATAATTCGTTAAAAGACCAAGACATCTAAATTTCTCAACACATTAGTTGTCATCTTACTTAATGCTCTAGAGTGGTCAGGGTTTCTGATCCCTTTCATTCTTAACCTCTGCAGTAACAACGGTGATGTCAGCTGCCGTACCAAGTAAACGGACATTGAATATGTCTGGAAAAAAGATCGAAAAGTTAAAGTACAGTAAGAATATCAACACAAAAAGATGAACCAAATTTTTGTTTCTTCAGCTGAGGAGGATGGTCTACCTTCCCAATTTCAGGTGCCCACGTGACTGATATTTGATTGGGTACTGCAGATGATAATCTGACGAGAGACGTAATGTTCAAAGGCCTCCCTGGTCTCTTCTGTTCTACACCATTCTTAGGAGGCGGTGCATAGCCCTAGCACAAAAGCAAGAACCTTAATTAAAGCTGACCACAACCACTTTCACATACAGATTACTCAATACAATACAACATTCTATTTTGTCTATATACTTTGAATGTTACAGTGCAGACATATCTATTAATATTTTTTTTGACAAATGCAAGTCTATACATCATAATTACTTACTGGTAAAGGAAAGAGCTTCCCATTGACTTTGATGCAAAGACTATTAGGATAATTGTCCTCTTGAGGGCAACTGGTCTCTGAAAGGCAGAACCTGTCAACGAAAAACAAAACAAACAAACAAACAAAAAGATCAATAAAGACATGCACAAGCAGCACAGCAAACTGAGCTTCACTGAAGGTATGAAAAGAAATAATGTTAAACTGACACTCCTTCTTACCGTAGTTGTATTTGAACCATATAGTCTCTTCTGCCACCAGGAAGGAAATCCCTTTTAAAAATAAATGAAAGATAAGAAACTAACATATGACTTGCACACCAACACAGAGCCAAAAAACAGTGCATGGTGAACAATGAGCATAAGGGACTAAGTTATCCCGCATTCTTACCGTGAAATGCAAACTTCTCTCACTTGCTGTGGAGTCAAGGCAAAGATGAAGTACTTTTCCTGATGAAATCTCTGAACAGCGCTGGGCCCTGTGTGCAAAAAATATATGCAAGAAAACAATATGATTAAAATACAGAACAGATTCCAGGCCAGCAACACCTGTTTTTCTTTTCACTGGTTTATAGCAGAGGCCTCCAAATCCAGACCAGTTTCCTTTTCTGGATTTTGTAATCGGTGGTAATTAACTGAACTGTTGATGTAATGAACTGTCACATTTCTCAGCCATTACATCAATGAAGGCTGTCCAGTTTTGCTGGATCCTTTGAATTTGTCTGAGAAACATGTTTGTTTTGAGAAATTAAACGATTTAACTAGTGTACCTAATATCATTCATGTGCAGCGCAAACCTGTTAGAAAAATGGTGGAAACAGCCGCAAATGGCAAGATACTGTGGTGCCAGACTTTGTTATGAAATGCTAAACTTATTTTGAAGTTTTGCACGAGTGCTAAAGAGGAACCTATATGTACCAGTGTTAACAAGGTCTCTCCTACCTCATCTGCAGCCTTCATTTTAAGACAAGCCTGCTGACAGGCCATCTAGTTTTACACCTACAAGCGATTACAAAATAGATGACCAGAAACTGGATTCAAGGTCCGAATTTGAACACCTTAAAAATGTAATTTTAATTTACGACTACAGAAAATACATTTGAAAAGAATTTATTTAACAAATATCAGTTAGCCATGCAAAATAGCTCCCAACCCCTACAATAAAAACAGACAACCATCACTACCCAAACTTGATGGCTTGATCAAAACATCCAACACGTCATAAAATGGAAGGGGTTTCATCTGGACATCTGGGTGGACGGGGGGCATGAGTGGGCTTGGCTGCTGCATGTTCATCCTGGGTTTTGAGTCATGAAACACCGGTGAATCACAGGTCACCAAGTGCGGATGCACCAAGTCTGAGGGACTAGCACCAAGAGAAAGGTCTGGACTCACAACCGCCGATCTGTCCTCTGTCTGAAAGTAGGACTTTATGTTTGACAACTCCGTCAGACTCTCGAACGTCCTAGGATATCTCCGACGATACAGTTCCTTGATTTTAATCTGCACGGCAGGACTACAGTCACTCTTTAGCAAATGCAAGGCCCTCAGAAGAAGTTCATGCTTGCGGCCGCTCTTGTTCCTTCCAGCAAAACCTAGCAGTACCTGGAGCTCTGAGACACGGAAACTTGATACCATATTCTGCAAAATAAATACAAACAGCCACAAAGACAAAAGGCTGAAAAGCGCAACAAGGAAAAGGTAAAGGCTTGATAAAGTAAATCTGAATCTTTACAACAGATGGATAAGGGAGGTCAGAAGTCAGTTCCTGTCACATTTTGTCAGTTTGAAACAAACAATATAGAACTAATTACTATAAACATGAAAGTAACTCAATAAAGTGAAATTAGCAAACTTTAAGTAAAATTAAGTTGCTTTATCAAATTAATTTATACAAAATTGACTAAAGCTTCTTAAAGAAATCAAAATTTTATTTGTATATTAACAGATAAATGTCTACCCCAGTGTAATACAGAATTCATAGTAAATAAACCAAGTCTGTGAACTGAGTTGAAATCCCGCCCAAACACAACCCTTCCACAATTCCCCAGAGAAGTAAGAAAATCTCAACTGACCCTTCAACATACGGTCCATGCTTGATTGTTCTTACTTGTTAATCCTTTTTTCTTTAAAAATCCGTTACAAATGTGAGCGAAATGCATCTAAAATGTTGAGAATAATTCCAAAACCCATTAGATAAACATTGTAAACAAGACACAGAACATGTTTGACATTCAACCTAATATAGCTATATGTTTTAGGAAAAAGAAATGATAAACAGATAAAATAATGAGAAAATAACGTTACTCTTTAAGACGGGGTTTATTTATCTAACTAGATAGAAATTAAGGATAAGAGGCTTGAAACATCAAGGACAAAGGAAAAGTCTTCTGCTTTACAACTCGCACATATAATGAGCTATTTCACATGTTTATACTTCCAGCATTCATCCTAACTAGGTATTAGAAAATCATTTTAATTTGAAGCCACATCAAACAGAAACACTGAGGCACATAACCAGGTATCAACACTAGCTACTCCCTGCAGGAATGACAGCCTAGCGAGCTAACCTAGGTAACGCTAGCTTTCAGCAACTGTTAACAGTAGCTATACTATGTTAGCTGACGAAGCTGAAGTCAGCTTCATATTCGAATTTTCCCGTTCCACCTTAAATCCTGCAGAAACCACATGTAACTGCTGCACCATTTAAGGTGGGACGCAAAAATTCAAACAAGAAGCTGCGAATAGGAAGCCAATTTCAGCCTCGTTGTTAGCTATTGGTTAAGCTAACATGCATTTACAGAACAAAATTAAGTCTCCATTTCGTATAAAAGTACTACCCTCTCATCTTAACGTCGGAGGTGGAATTTGTGCAAATGTACTTTTGCTAGGTAACTAATGTTTGCGTTGCTAAAGCTAGCTTGCTAGCTTAAGTTATGATGCTAACAGGCAACAACAAAAGAACAGCCAAAACATTCGCGAAGAGACTTAAATTTTTACCTGTTTCTGGATGTGCAAAGCTATTAAACAGTATTTTACAGAATTCTCATGCAGTGTATAGTGAGAATTGGGCAATAAATCCCAAGGCATAAAGGTGATGAAATGTAGCTGAAGCCCAAGCACCTTGATAAGCTAACGCAGCAGGTCTCTGCTGGCTCTGTAGCAGCAGCTCTCCGGCCTACGACCGTCAAACATGTCGGTGTTAACTAACTACAAAACCCTCGCAGGCCGAGAATCGGCCGTCAAGTTTAGCTAGTGAACAAGAATAAAATTTCTTTCAAGCTGTGAGAAGTGCAAAGTGGCTGCCAGCTATCATAACGCTTTCGCCTACCCGTAACTGCTCAATATCCGCCATTTTCTGGCTCGGTTCATCCTGCCGATGAACCGGTCAAGGTTGAGCTCGGCTTGCAGCTGTAGCCGCCGGACCACTGATAGTGATTCAGTTTACTGAACCGATTCTTTCGAACTGTGTGTTTCAAAGGATTGAACGTCTGATTCAACCGATTCCTTTTCATTCGCACAACTGAAAAGGTGGTGAAGAGTTAAAACATGAACGCATTATAAAATCATTAAATAACATACATAATTACATTTTCTCTCTATAGGCTGTTGTTGTCTCTTATTGTTAATGTTGTTTATGTTTGAGCATTTTGGTTCTGACTCCATTAGTAAGTAGCAAGATTAGACTGACCCCAATGTACAGAATGAAGTTGACCAGACATGTGAATCAGTGAATCATTCACACTACATCTGCACAGTTCTAAAGCAAAGACAACGAGCAGTTTACAGACGGAGAATATTAGCACATTTAAAGAAAGTTTTTAATTTGGTGCTATTTAATATTCATGTCAATACTTACTCTCCTAATGTTGAATTATGAAAAGTTGTACTCCTTATTACAAGTCTTTTTAGCAGACTACGGAGGTAAACAAAAAAGTTTGGTTACTGCCTTATGGACTAATGAATCGGTTCAAAAGAACGATTCGTTCGTGTGTCCTTAGCTGCACTGACGCTTGCTCTTAGGAAAAATAAGTATGAGTTGGAAGATGAATAGACTTTCACACAGAAAATTAGTCACGTTTAACCCCAATTGAAGCAAATGACTTAGCCTACAACAATGCAGGTAGCGTAACAAACTCGTCAGCAAAGAAAACAGCAGCGACGGGTGAAAGCCGAGTAGACCGCAGTCACGTTTCAGCCATGTGGTCGCGTTCAGGCTACAGGTGGCCGTCTGCTATGAATAGAGTGGAAGTCTAATCCCACATAACAGTAGCTGCCAGATGGAAAGTTATGGATTACTGAAGGTAACTAGATAAACACACTCTTTTCTGAACCTATTTTCAGAAAGATATCACACAGAGTGTGTGAAGAGGTTAGGTTTGCAGTTTAATTTACAGATTGAGTAAAAATTAATCTTTCTGATGGAAAAATCATCATAAGGTGTGTTTTGGATGTGGGTTTGCTGGTCAGCAGCAATGGAAGTTAATATAATGTTGACCAACAAATCCAGCTTATGTTGTTTTTTAGATGCTGGTATACTTGTCAACCAGCTTGACCATGCTGGGTGACCATCTAAACCAGCACCAGGCCAGTACTAGACCAGCACAAGATAGGGCAGATTAGTTTACCATTATCATGAAATGTATGCTGGTCTGTGCTGGATTTTTCAGCAGGGCTGTTTGAGAATTCCACCATTTTCTTTTTCAAAATGTCTACATAAATCACTTTTTGAGATGTAAACAAAAGTGTTTTGACAAAACAGCACAGGCCAGCATGCATTCCTCGCTGGTCTAAGATGGGTTATGCTGGTCTCGTGCACCCTGCGAGGTTATGCTAGCTGAGCTGATCATGGAAAAATAGTGATAAAAATCTCTTTCCTTTGGAGACTATTTTGCCTCACAACGCCCTGCATGCACTCCTCTACCACAAATGAATAATAAAAAACAAGTTTTAGACCAAAAACATCTCAATACCGGCCATCAGGTAACATAGTCATACTGTTCCATGTAATAAATTCCTGTGAAGTAGCTTTTAGAGCAATTAAATGCTTCAGACGTCCGGTTCTTCTTATCACCACTGTGAACAATTCTGACAGAACAGTGTATTTTACATCAAACCACTCTGTATGGACTACACTCACTTCTAAACACTAGCTTAAAACTGTTTACAAATTAATATGGTGAAGACAGTCCAAGTGGATGGAATGAAAAATATAATAATTTATGTAACACTATAGTATGGAAGCCCATTCCCTCCAAGTAGAAGAGAAAAAATCCCTTCTGTTTTTATCTGTTTGTAGCAGCAGGACCAGTACCACATTGACTAGTATTGGGAAATAATGACTTATTTTCTTTTAATTTTGTCAAACAAATTATTATTACTAATATTATTATGTTTTTGAGATTTTAATTTACCATGTCTGAATAATTACTTGCTTTTTCAATTTTTTACTGACTATGTAGAACAATTTACTTATTTTGTCAAAAAAATGATATATTACATTGAAGTAATCACTTTTTTTCTAGAAATTTCTGCTACTGTATAGAAATAATGACTTTTTTAATTTTTGACTTACTATGCCAGAATAATGACTTATTTTGACCTAGTATGGAAATGAAGTTATTTTTTCAAAATAATTACTTTCTGAAAATATAATAAATTAAAAAAAAGTCCCTATAAGGAAAAGAAATAAATGTGTATTTATCATAAACATTTGAAAATGGAGATTTTATATGGAGAAAATTTATACTGATATTAAAATCCTGTATGTCTGTTGGTTAATCTGCCAAAAACGTCCCTGTCAGGATTGAGTGCGAGTGCCTCTTTCGTCCAGCAGAGGGCGCTATCAGAACGCGTCTCTTCACTTTGTTTACATCTGACATTCCGTAACACAGGTCTCGCAGCAGTACGGCCAACACCATTACTTCTGAAAAATTACTGCTATTCCCACACTGGTCAGTTTAAAATCCTTATTAACTACACGACGGTATAGAGTAGGAGTATAACTATGTCTTAGATATTACTCACAGGTGGATGAAGTGGAGAGGCTTAGCTAACTGCTTATTCACTTCTACGATATATGTGGAAGCTAACAACACTATTTCAAGGCCGTAAAACCATTATGCGTGAATTCTTTCAGATTTTGTTGCACGCTTTTCTTGCACGTTTATCAAGCCTATTGTCTCCCCTGGTTTATAATCTCTGTCTATTTATCACCACAGGGTCTTGTTTTTGTAGTGGTCAAAGGGCAAAAACCCCTCATCCATCTCTGTACAGTGACCTCGAAAGGTCTGGCAGCAGAAACAAGAGCTCTAACTGCACACAGGTTAGTGGGAAGAGGGTTTTACATTATATTTATTTGTACTTATTTAGATGGATTTTTTTATTTTAAAAAGAAAGAAAGCCTGATATTTTTTTCAATAATTCTTCAATAGGTCTGAAAGCAAGCAGCAATGTTGGGGCCAAAGCACCACACAGTGATTTTGCATGATTGCCATACCAAGAATGAAGGATATAAACTATGAGCTATGTTACTCAAAAGCACTAATGCTCAGCCTAGGATATTGAGCAAAACAAGTAAATAGTAAGTTTATACTACTATAGCCTACTAATTTGAAACATGACCTTGTAGGTGGGAGTGGTGCTGTTCCTCAGGGCCGGCTCTAGCCTTGTAGGTGCCATAAGCAGGACCAGAAATGAGTGTGCAAGTGGGTGTATTTACTGACCACAACAGATTACAGACCAATCAAGAAACATTGACTTTAATAACATGCATATGAAAAGTAATTTAGAGAGCCATTCAGCAGTCTAGAGTTCAGAACAGTCATGCTTTATGGGCAAACAGACAGTCAAGACCAACTTAGGTATTAAATTTGACATTGAATAACAGAATTTTTTCAATGCTCTGTAGTAACTGAAGTAATTTTGATATCCAGCAGTAGTGAGAATGTTAATTCACGAGGTAGGAAAAGCTATCAGATGTAAGGGTTATCAGTAAAGGAGGTCTCTCTTGGTCTACAAAATGCAGAGAAATACAGTGTGGGTGTATTATTCAGTTATTTATCTTAAGATGTATTATGCAGTACCTACTATGAACTATTTGCTAAATATTATGAAGACATGTCCACAAGGGTCCTTACAGTTTGAGGGGTTACATAATTGCTTACTTTTCCTAAATGGACCATTGCATTGAATTAGTTCAAACTATGGTCCCACAGTAAAAGAACTATTTATAAAACCATTAAGTATTCTGACCTAGAAATATTATGTTATTATCTGTTTAAACCCAAGGCATTAATAGAGATAGTAATAAGCTAAATATATACAAAATCATCATTTATAGGGTTCTTTCCATTTCCAAGTGACTTTTAGATTTATCATGAGTTACATACTTAATTCAGAAAATGCTGTCCCATGTTTTCATGTCACTACACCAAGAGCTTTAGTCTATAGGCGGGGCTTTATTTTAGCCCCACCCCTGCATTTTAGAGCAGGAAGTGAGACTGCATCCCTGTCCCTCATGGCCACATGGTGAGCAGTTAAATCCCATTGTTTTGAAGAAAGAATGTGTCCCAAAGTCTGAAAATTAAAAAACATTATCCCTGTCGAAACATATTTTCTGTAATTAAGTAAACGTTTCATGTTTTCATTAAAATATTATGATTTTTAGCAAGGCTGCTTTTCCTAGTCATATTCTGGCTACTGTTTTTGAGTTCTGCTCAAAATGAGCTAAACTGTCACTACCAAAACAGTCATTACTGAAACTTTACCAAATGTTTCAGCAGTGACTGTTTCAGTAGTGATATAATTAAGGTATGGGATCATTCAAACCAAAAGGATTTTAGTCTAAAGTCCCAAATGTGTTTTTTAACTTTGACTTTGAACCAGTTCAGTAGAACGATCTGTAAATCAACCCCTAACTTGTCCGTTTTTATCATGGGAAGCAAATCTCTGCCTTTTAAAAATACACTGTTCAATCCAGTTCCCTATTCAGCACTGTAAAACAAATGCAGCATAAATGTATGAAGTCAGATAAAGACGTGTTTGGAAAAGCACACATGGCAAAGAGCACTAACTTTCTTCCAAATGAATATCGTGCAGTAGAAGTGTGATGACAGTGACAGTACAATTGACTTATCATTTGCAGGTGATTTGAGAGCAAAACTGGAAGACTGCCTTCATTAATGTTTAAACATTGTATCTGTCTTCCTTTTGGGGAACACTCTAACAAGTGTGATTGCCTAATGAACTGGCTGTATGTAAGTGTGGAGGCTTGCTTCATGATTAAACTTGGATTTTGTCCACAAATTTTATGTTTTGCAGTTTCTGTTTGTGCAGATGATGTTTGAGCAGTTTCTTTAGCGTGGAATGTCAAAACAGATGGTTTATCAAGGTACGTTTCGCAAATCTGTTTCTACTGAGTTGGAACCCTGTACAG